ATAAAAACTTAGGATTCCATTTTTTAAAATTATAAACTTGGAAATCTTCATTGGGTTTATCTCTTGATTGCCTTAGATTATAGTTTTAATTATAATTAGATAAGGGAGATTTTACAACCTCTACTTGCTCCTAAATATAATTCTTTATTACTAGACTAAAGTCATTCCAATGCTTAATTGTAATGGGCACATTTACTTGTTTTACAACCCTTATGTAGTTAATGAATTTATTTTTTTAGTTTTGATAGGTTAACCTTTGTAATTCTATTCGACTTTATATTTTTGTTTAGCAGCTCTTTTTCTATTCATCTTAGCTATCAATGTCAATTCTCTTGTTATTTGATTTACTTTTTGTTGAATTTGTTAGTCATTAATGTTAATACTAGGATCAGCACTACTAAGTCCACTGAGACTAGCACTTCTTTGAGAAGCCATTTACTTATAAAAATAAAAAATAAATAATAATGAACTATATAAACAAATAAAGTATATAATAAATAATTTACATGTTTAAGTTAAATCACACATTATAAAAAAAATAAAGCACATAATAAATAATAATAAAAAATTAAATCACACAAAACAAGTAACTTACAAGTTTAAATTGTTCTTTTTTTTTTCTTGTATATTCCTTATCTTTTTTCTCCTTCTTTGTTCAAATGCTTTTACCTCTTTTCTTTAAAATTCAAATACTTTCATTGTAATCATTTCTCATATAAAAGGCTTCATCCTTAATGAAGTAATTTCCAAATGATATCCTCATAATGAATCATCTTCAAATATAGAATTATTCATATTTTTATTTATTTTACTGCTTAATAAAATAATGGACCAATTTACTTTATTAAGAATAAAAAACACTTGTTGAGCTTGTGAAACCAAAATAAAAGGCTTGTCTTTATAATTTTTTCTTTATAACTTTCTCTACTAAGAAGAAGAAATACTTTTAGACAGCAATTTCTCTTTTTACTTTCTCAAAAAATCAATCAGAGGCAATTAGAAATTAATATATACTTATCTTATTTCCATTGCCAAATAAAGCGAAGGAGATTTCATCTAAAATGGGTAGTTCTTAGGCCTTGTTTGGTAGTGAGATATTGAATTTTAAGGGATTGGGAATGGGACTGGTAGTGGCATTGGGAGTAGGATTGAGAGTGAGAATAGGTTTTAAAATTATGTTTGGTATGTCTTAGAATTAAAAAAAAAAAGCATTACCCAAATCAAACAAAAATTAATTAAAATGACGCAAATGCCCTCATCTTCTTCTTTGAACCCATAGCTATCGGTACTTGTTACCATGGTCGAGAATATATCCCAATTTTAAAGTTAAAAAAAGTATTGCCTTGTTTTAAAATATTTCATTAAAAGCCATGGAACACAACGCTATATGAGTAATCTCCCACTATGGTCGTCGTCGTCGAAGGTGAGGTTTTGACATTGTAGGTGTGAACTCAAAACTTAGAACTAGTGGCTGTTGATAGGAAACTCAAACTTGAACCTAACCACCATGACACTATTGATGGTTGTCGCTCTTGCTACTAACAGAGGTAGAAATCATATCTGTTGCCATTGACAAGGAACTTGAACCTAAACCTAACCATCGTGGCATTGTTGATGGTCATTGCTCTTGCTATGGAGAAGCTAGATTTGTTACTGTCGATGGGGAACTCAAACTCGAACCTAACCACCGTTGATGGTCGTTGCTCTTGTTATTAATGGAGGGAGAAGTTAGATCTATTCAACCATAAAGAGAGGAAGACGAAGGCTAAAAGAGAAGGGAGAAGACTAAGAGGCAAACCTATTTATTGAAGGAGGGTATTTTGGTCTAAATTTTTCAATCCTAGGCTTAAATTTTCAATACCATCTCCCCTATAAGTTTGATTAATCCCACCTATATAGGTTTCACTAGATCCAAGTAATAAGAAAACCATTGTACAAACACTTTATCAATGGGTTTCTCCAGACCTAATCCCACTCCCAACCCCCAATGCTTCCTACCAAATAAGGTCTAAGATTATTGGTACCAACAGATAAAATCATAGTCTGAGTTATACTTGAAGACACTGTCCTTAAAGCTATTTGGTACATTGGGTTGATCACTTGGCAGCTCCTTAGGATTAAACAAACTCTTCCTACAAAATCAACATGGACATAGAACAATGAAAATTTTCAGAATAACTCAGGCAATATTAGCACTGACGAAGCAATCGGATAAAGGAGGAGAGAAAGCCCATCACAGAGGCTCTCCGGAACACTTATGACAAGCATTGCCTTTTATAGGCAGATATCTCAAAAATTGGACAATCAAAACACATTAAACACATTTTAAAAATAGTTTCATGTAATAATGGGTTTATATATATATGTTAAACATAAATTTATTTAAATAGTAGTTAATATTTATTAATTTATAATAATTCTTTTTGGAATATTAATAATTATTTTATAATATCCAACATCAATATTAGGTAGAGGCTTATTTTCCTGAATAGGCCTTGAAGGACCTGACATGAAAGAATCAACTTTTCTCCTCTTACTGGCAGATGATTGCACAAGGAAGCTTCACCTTGTCCTTCTTTTTCTACCAATAGCTGCATTTTCTTCAATATAGTGTGTCCCATGATATAAACATAAATCACTTTCTTCCCATCCTCGATCTATTCATGATGATCTATTTGTATAGGAATTTAAAGAAAATAAGAACCTTCAATATAACCCCGTCACCTTATGTCCCTTTGCGGATTCTGTAAATCTGCCATATCCCCTGAATAGCAGCACCTCCCCATTCAAGCCGTAGGTGTTAAAGAAAGTTTGGAAAGCAAAGAAGTTGGATAAGAAGCATGAAATGGGAAGAGAAGAAAGAAGAGTGGTTTCTGACCATAGAGAAAAGATTGAGGATGCGTTTGGGTTCTCTTGATTAAAGTGATAATGAAGCTCAATAAGCTGCTTCTTGCTTGAGAACGTTGGACTTAAGGCCAACTTTAGTGCACTTTGACTAGCACATTTCAAGATAAGCCGATATGTATTTACAATCAAGATGAACCAGTAACAGTGGCTACAGTAACTTGGTATTTTGATACCCTAGTTGATGATGAATCTATTCTCTACTTTTGGCTTCTTTCCATTAATGTACAGCCAGTGAAGAAAAGCAATCATATTAGGCGTCCGAATATGTTAATTATTTTTGGTGAAATGATCAAAATATACCCAGTCTAGTTACAAAAAATAAATATTAATGATTATTTTAATTTAATTAATAATTATTTTTTAATGATTAGAATAGAATAAGTAATTATAATGTTTTTATGTAAATTTTTGATTCATTAAATATATTGTATATATTTTTCATTACTTTATTTTAAGCAATAACTATTTTTTATCATAATAATTAAAACAGAACAAGTAATTATAACTTTTTTTATATAATTTTTTTATTTATTAAAGTTTAAGTATTGTAAATATCTGTAACTATTTTAGATTAAGTTATAACTATTTTTTTTCTAATAATAACAAGAGCAGAATAAACAATTATAACTTCTCTAATGTAAACTTGCTAAATGATTAAAATACCCCTACTTTGAAAAAGTAATAGCTGTAGCCATAAAAAAAATAAATATTAGTAATTATTTTAATTTAATTAATAATTTTGCTTTTAATAATGACTAAAAAAAATAAATAATTATAACTTTTGATGTGCAAATTTTTTGTTAACTGAAATTCAAGTATTATAAATATTCATAAATATTTTAATTTAAGTAATAATTATTTTTTTCTCTAGCAATGACTAAAACAAAACTAGTAATTGTAACTTTTCGTATGTGAATTTTTTTTATTTCTTGAAGTTTAAGTGTTGTAAAGATCTATGAGTACTTTTGTTTAAGTGATTTTTATTTATTTTCTAGTAATTAATAACAAGAATAGAACAAATAATTATAATTTCTCTTGTGTAAATATTCGTGAATACTTTAGTTTAAATAATAACTAATTTTCTTATGACGATAATTAAAATAGAACAAATAATTACTACTTTAATTTAAACTGAAAGTATTTTAATTATTTCATAAAAAAATTATTAACATTGGAAAGGTTCTAGAAACTTGTGAAGAATTTTGACATTTCATGGGATCTTATTATCATTTGTACATTTCATGGATATTTTTATGTAATTTTCCCTAGTTAATTTGTGTTTTAAAATATAAATGATTAATATAACAATTTTTTAAAAAATAATAAAAATGTTATAATATGCTATCTAATTCTATTAGCCAAAGGTCTCTTGGGACAAAATAGAGGCAACTCTTGATTAGAAATTGATGGTTCTACTCTAGGTAATAACCAAAGTACTTGTGGTGGTATTTTATGGAATGCCAATAGGGCCTATTCAGGGATTTAATTAAAAACTGGGGGAATATGCTTGCAACTGTTGCTGAGGTTTGTTGTATTTTCAAAGAGCTTGAATTGTGTTGGCAAAGGGGAATTAGGTCTATGGAAGTTTTTTTTTTCTTTTTAATAATATGTATGTCATATCATAACTATAGTTATCATTCCTTTCAAGTTATTATTTCTTTGATTATATATTTTTTATGTAAAAGTTGATCTGTTAATTTTAATTTGACATATAGAAAGGCTAATAGACTGACTATCTTGCTAAGTTGACATATCTTCCAAATGATTATAACTTGTTTGATCATCCACTTGATTAGCTTGTTTTATTGGGTGAATTTTTCTATTTCTGTCTTTTTAGTCTTTGAGTTTGCTTTTATAATTTTCGTTCATTCTTTTGAATAAAACTTTTCATTATTATTTTAAAAAAATGTATAAATGATTTATATAATAATTTTTTAAAAAATAATAAAAATTATATTAATAAAAATTAAACTTAACAAAAGTTAAAATTAATAAATGAAACATAGGTGAGGAAGAAAATTTAAAAGTTTCATAAACGAAAATATAAAAGGTGACTCGAATTTCTAAAGCATCAACATTTAAAACTCAAAGAGGTGCGAAATCCCCGTTCAAAATCATGACTGAAAGCATTTCAAATCCATGGGCCTTCGACTGCATCTGCAGTACAAGCTAGCGTCTTGTTGCCACTGAAGCTTCAACTCAAATACCTCCGAGGTATGCCCCATGCTTCAATTAGAATAGAATACATATATTCTCTTTCTTTCCACAATTTACACCTGGTTCATGCTCATGAAGTAGCCGAAACCGTGAAATAAGGGTTTCTTGAGATTGAGATTCCATTATTGTAGTGCGATGCATTTTCTCAAATTAAAACCCACTATTTTGTATTCTATGAGTAATTTGTCCAGATCCTTTCTTTCTCTGTTCTCTACTGTTGTTTCTTCCTCACCTCAAGCCTCGGCCGAACACATTTCCATCATTGATTACCTTAACGCCAACGTCAAACTCTCCAAAGCTCAATCCGTCATCATCTCAAAACGAGTTTCTCAGGCTAGGTCTCCTCAGCATTCATGGACTGTGCTTAATTATTTTAAACAGATTGGACTTTCTGAATTGCAGATTCTATCTATGATTGGTGTCCAGCCCCAAATTTTTTTCGATAAAACCCTGAAGCCGAAAATTGAGTACCTTCAGTTTCTAGGGTTTCAGGGTTCTGAGTTGGGTGAGCTTCTCTCCAACAATCCAAATCTTTTGTTGTGTAGTTTGAATAGAACATTGGTGCCCTCTGTGGAGGCTATTAGGAAAATTATTAATAAAGAGGAAGCTTTGATTTAGTTGCTTCGCAGAGATGGGAATTGGATAATCCATGACCACAGAAAGATTTTGCGCAATGCTGCTTTCTTCCAGAGTTGTGTGATCGTTGGGTCTCAGCTTTCCTTTTTACTCTTAAATCAAGGTCGCCTTTTTGTTCGACAAGAGTCTCTGCTTCAAAACTATGTGTCACGGGCTGTCAACATGGGTTTCTGTATAAACTCAAGAACGTTGGTACGTGCGGTCATGGTAATTAGTAGCTTAAGCTTTGATACGTTTAACAGAAAGTTGGAGTCAATTCACAGTTGTGGGTTTTCTAAACAAGAGACCGTGCAAATGTTTAGAAGAGCTCCCACTTTGCTTCAGCGATCTGAGAAGAATCTAAAAGTTGGAATTCTAGTGTGCTTGGATAAAATTATGCTTCCTAAGTCAATGCTTGTTAAGAACCCTGTGATTTTGACGTTCAGCATGGAGAAAAGGGTGATTCCTCAATGGAGGATTTTGCAACTCCTCATCTCAAAAGATTTACATAAGAAGAATCCAAGTTTTGTTAAAGCGCTACTATTGCTGGAGCGGAAATTCTTGCAGGAGTATATTTTGAAGTTTAGAGATAATGAAGAGGCTTTATTGGCGGCTTACAAGGGTCAGCATCTAAAGGATGCTTCTACTTAATTATCATCAAGTTCTGTTTTGCAGGCTTCTCTTCGGTTGCCTTAGGGTTCCTGAGAATATGTATGGTTGTTTGGATTGAGCAGAGTGGGGAGGAAGAGTTTGAAATTTCAATTCTGATTCCATTTTTCTCAGTTAACATTTTTAACTTTCTAGTTGAATTTGCAAAATTTCTCTACAACTACAACACTTACGTGAATGATATGCATGCATAATAATGAATGTCTTGTATTTTAGATCTTAATCTACTCATCATGATCTATTTGTATAGGAATTAAAAGGAAATAAGAACCTTCAAAATAACCCCATCACCTTTTGTCCCTTTGCGGACTCTGTGAATCTGCCATATCCCCTGAATAGCAGCATCTCCCCATTGAAGCCGTACATGTTAAAGACTTGAAGTTTGGAAAGCAAAGAAGTTGGATAAGAAACGTGAAATTAGAAGAGAAGAAAGAAGAGTATGAGAGATTAGATCTGAAAAATGGTTTCTGACCATTGAGAAAAGATTGAGGATGCGTTTGGGTTCTCTTCATTAAAGTGATAATGAAGCTCAATATGCTGCTTCTTGCATGACAACATTGGAGTTAAAGGCCAACTTTAGTCCACTTTGACTCGTGCATTTCAAGATGAGCCGATGTATATTTACATCAAGATGAACCAGTAACAGTGGCTACAATAGCTTTGTATTTTGATACCCTAGTTGATAATGAAACTATTCTCTACTTTTTGCTTCTTCCCATGACTGCACAGCCAGTGAAGGAAAGCAATCATGTTAAGTTCCTTTAATGTGACAAGAAAGGAAACCTTGTTTTATGTAAAGCAAAATTCTCTTGATGGCTTTGAAAAGCAATCATGTTAAGCGCTGAGCTGATATTGGGCTGTGAATGTTATGTATTACTGCTTTGCAGCAGCTAGACTTTTTTAGTATTCTGGATTTTTAACTTAAGAATTGTTAGCTTTTGGCATTTTCTTTTTTCTTTTTTTCTTTTTTTTTTTATGGCTATTTGATTGGTTCAAATTTAGTATTCTCAAGCCCAATTAGAGATAGTTCTCTCAAAGGCTGTTTTTGCATTCACATGTACTCGAACTCGAGACTTGGTGCTTAAGCAACCTTAGCCTATTCTACTAGGATTAACACTTGTTGATACCATTTGGCAACTTTTTGTTGCTATCTTTGGTCGGCTGATTGTTTTGTCCAAGCCAAATCTTTTAAGACGAGTAATAGCATTTTTTTACCCAGAACTATATAATGTGCTGAAACTGTAGTTCATTCGCCATAAAATACAGATGTGGCAAAACTTTGATTCCCCTCCTCCTCTCTCTTTACAAACATCCAAGCCAGGTTGGCATTAGCGAACTATCTTTTGAGGGAGAGCAAAGCCCTGAAGCTATTTTACTAGGAACCTTGTTATAGGATACAAATACACTAAACTTCTGAGAAGTTTGTTGTTAACCGTTTTCATGTTTTGTTTATTTTCATTTTATGCTGTTTTGGAATTGCCTGAGGTATTCTTGCAGAAATATACGTCAACATTTAAGTACTCCCTTTATTAAAAAATATAAAACATTTTTAATTGAATTTTATCTCTCAATAAAGAAGTTATTTATTTTTAAATTGATTCTATATTTTTATATTTATTCTTATTAAACACCCTATAATAAATATAAAATCATTATCAATAGTGGTACTTTAAAAAAAAAGACAATGATTATATCTCGAAAGATTAAAAATACCTTACATTTTTTTGAACATCCAACCTTTTAAAAGATGTTTTATATTTTTTAACGGAGGGAATATATTGCTAGGGATTTATTGTCTACTTGCAAGAGTCACTGTCATGTTTATGCTTCTACGTAATAATCACCAAAAGGTTCTGTTCTGCAGTCTTACAGATGTAGAGGATGGAGGAAAGTAGAATAGAAATGACCTAATTTTAGTTTTGATATTTCTTCTAAAATAAATTTTCATCTAACATTTTCTTTTTTCATTCTTTACTTGAGTTTTAGGGGATGGAAGGAGAATATAGCCTGAAAGCTATTTTAGTGGGAGTGCTGGGATAGCATATAGGTACTACACTAAACTTGTGAGAAATTTGTAGTTTAACGTTTTAATGCATCTCTTTATTTTCATTTTATTATGGTGCCTTTTTATTCTGAGTCCTTGTAGATTAAATAAGCAGAGGAGATGATGGCACTGAAACCTTTGTAGCAGAGGCAGCCTTCCAATCAGTAGCATTATTCCCCTGTCTACAGATTTGTTCGGAATGAGAAGAAAATAAGGAAACTCCGCCTATGTTTATAGCCGGTCCCAAGCCCGGGTAAAGGAGGAGGGTTGTGTTAGGCCATCAACAGCCAATGTAAAAATTTGTTGAATCTATCTTGAACATGGACAATAGACGTTATAATGTTAATGCTAGGTCGTTGCCCGTAAGTAACGCGCTGCATGGCTCGAGTACAGTGATAAGTGAGTTAGAGCCGTTGCATCGGCGCCCGGATGTAGTGTTAAATGAGCAAGGGCTACCGCGTCATTCTGGACGCACGCGGCTAAAGAAGTTAGTCCATAAGAGCAAAATTAGATTTGGTACTTGGAATGTTGGGACATTAAATTGTAAATCTGTAGAGGTTGTAGGGGTTATGATTCAAAGGAAAATCAATATCATTTGCTTGCAAGAAACAAAATGGCGTGGAGAAGAAGCTAAGGATATTCAAGGTTTCAAACTTTGGTATACAGGAAAAGTAAGTGCACGCAATGGAGTAGGCATCATTATAGATAAGGAGTGGAAGAAGAACGTTGTAGCAGTTAGCAGAATTGGAGATAGAATTATTTCTTTAAAAATGATAATTGGACGTGAGACTGTTAATATTGTTAGCGCTTATGCGCCGTAAGTCGGGACAGAAGCCAGTCTTAAGGAATTATTTTGGGAGGATCTAGAGGGGTTGATTCGACACATACCACAGAGTGAAAAGATTTTTATTGGAGGAGACTTTAATGGGCATGTCGGGAGGGAAGCTGGTCAGTATGCGAGGGTGCATGGTGGTTTTGGTTTTGTAGAGCTAAACAATGAAGGAAAACTCTTCTTGATTTCTCATTGGCGTATGATTTTAAGATTGCCAACACTTGTTTCAAGAAGAGAGATGAGCATCTCATCACTTACAAAAGTGGAGCCTCAAGGTCGCAGATTGATTTTCTTTTGGTTAGGAACACAGATAGAAAACTTTGTAAAAATTGTAAGGTGATACCCGGAGATGCTGTAACGACACAACATAGGGTCCTAGTCCTTGATGTGTGTATTATGAGTAAAATCCAAAAACGTCGACAAGTAGTAACACCAAGGACTAGGTGGTGGCAATTAAAAGGTGAGAAGCAAGATATTTTCAAGCGAAATCTTTTGGATAAAGGAATTTGGGATTCTCAAGGAAGTGCTAACATTATATGGGAGGATATGGCTAAAAAGATACGGGAGGTTGTAAAAGTAGTTTTGGGAGAATCGAAAGGTTCTGGTCCGAGAGATAAGGAGTCTTGGTGGTGGAATAATAGTGTACATGACAAAATCAAGTATAAGAAGAACTGTTTTAAAGCCATACATTTGTGTAACAATGAGGAAAATTGGGAGAGGTACCGTTTGGCTAAGAAGGAAACTAAGAGAGCTGTGGGTGAAGTTCGTTCTAAAGCTTTTGAAGAATTTTATAAGAACCTTGAGATGAAGGAAGGAGAGCAAAATATTTATAAGATTGCCAAGAGTAGGGAAAGAAAATCAAGAGATCTAGAACAGGTAAGGTGTATTAAGGATGAAGAGGGAAGAATTTTAGTTACAGATGATGAAATTAAAAATAGATGGGAGACTTATTTTTCTAAACTTTTCAATGATGGAGAGGATTCATCTAGTAACTTGGAGGATTTAGTAACTGGTGAAGGAGAACAAAATTTGTCATTCTATCGAAAAATACGTGATAAGGAGGTAAAGGAAGCTCTTAAGAAAATGGCAAATGGTAGAGCCAACGGACCTGATTGTATATCTATCGAAGCGTGGAAATGTTTAGGTGAAGAAGGGGTGAGATGGTTAACTAAGTTATTTAATGTGATTTTACGGTCCAAGAAAATGCCTGATGAGTGGAGGAGAAGTACATTAATTCCTATTTATAAAAATAAAGGAGATATTCAGAATTGTACTAACTATAGAGGGATTAAACTCATGAGCCACACAATGAAATTGTGGGAGAAAGTAATTAAGCACAGGTTGAGATTGGAGACAAGTATTTCTGAGAATCAATTTGGTTTTATGCCAGGTAGATCAACTACAGAGGCGATTTATCTACTAAGGGGATTAATGGAAAAGTATCGTTGTAAAGATAAAGATCTACACATGGTTTTTATTGATTTGGAAAAAGCTTATGACCGTATACCAAGAGAAGTGCTTTGGAAAGCGTTGGAAAAAAAGGGAGTACGGATTGCTTATATTAAAGCCATACAAGATATGTATGAGGGGGTAAAAACTAGTATAAGAACGCCTAGTGGTCAAACAAAGGATTTTCCTATAAAGATTGGACTACATCAGGGATCATCTCTGAATCCTTATTTGTTTAACTTGATTTTAAATGTTTTGACGGAACATATTCAAGAGGAAATCCCGAAATGTATGCTCTTCGCGGATGATATAGTTCTTATAGCAGAGACAAGAGAAGAGGTTAATTGCAAACTTGAGTTATGGAGGAGGACATTGGAGTCGAAAGGTTTTCGTCTGAGTAGAAGTAAGACGGAATATTTATATTGTAAATTTGGTAAAGGACTATTCGAAAATAATTTGGAAGTGAAATTGGGAGATCAAATTGTACCTCAAGTGGAAAAGTTTAGATATTTGGGAGCCATTATTCAAAATGATGGCGAAATCAGTGGAGATATTTCACATAGAATTCAAGCTGGGTGGTTTAATTGGAGAAAAGCTAAAGGAGTTATTTGTGACCGTAAGGTGCCTAATAAACTTAAAGGAAAGTTTTATCGTACTGCTATCAGACCGGCAATGTTATATAGTAGTGAATGCTGGGCTCTAACGAGACAGCAAGAGCATAAAGTTGGAGTAGCAGAGATGAGAATGTTACGATGGATGTGCGGACATACACGTAAAGATAAAATTCGAAATGAGCACATACGCGAAAAAGTGAGGGTGGCACCTATTGAGGAAAAAATGGTAGAAAATCGGTTGAGATGGTTTGGGCATGTACAAAGAAGACCAAGGGAGGCACCAGTGAGAAGAGTGGAACATATAACTTTGAGTCCGATTAAGAGAGGTAGAGGAAGGCCTAAGAGAACACTCTTGGAAGTTGTTGAACGTGATCTCTTAATTAATAATATTTCTAAAAGCTTAATAAATGATAGAGCACAATGGCGTCTTGCAATCCATGTAGCCGACCCCACCTAGTGGGATAAAGGCTTGTTGTTGTTGTTGTTGTTGAGAAGAAAATAAGGAATAAGAAAAATTAGGAGAGGAAAATAGAGGAAAAATACATTTTTAACCGTTGTTTTCTCCTAATTTCTCTTATCAAGGAGGAAAACTAAGTGCATCTTTGGTACACAAAAATATTTTCAAAAAAGAAAATGGAACTTGTATTTATAAAGAAAATAGGATATGTGCATTTATCATTTTCTTTCTAAAACATATTTTTCTACATGCCAAACATTGCATTAAGGAAAAACTTTATGCTGTGGAATGATTTCCTTTGTGCAATGGAATGAAAATGTCCTTTTCTTCCATTCTAAACGGAGAGTAAGAATCAAAGAAAAGGATGGATTATTTCCGGCTAAAAGAGAAAAGGATGGATTATCAATGTTTTTTACTTGTCACATCAATTTAATAGTTAATAGAAAAAATAATAAAAAAATCTTCTTAAAATATACAAATAACAATAAGATCCAAGATCATAATTCTTCTTAAGTTCTTAAAAACATTTCTAACATTAATTAGTTTTGGTGAAATGATTCAAATACTTCTAATTTAGCAATTAAAAAACTAAATATAAGTAATTATTTTAGTTTAAGTAATAATTTTTTTTGATAATGATTAAAATATAATAAATAATTATAACTTTTCTTATGCAAAATAAATTACAACTTTTTTTATACAGAATAAATAATTACAACTTTTTTAATGTAAATATGTGAGATGATTAAAAACCTCTAGTTTTAAAAAGGATCAACTCTAGCAACAAAAGAATTATCATTAATTATTTTAATTTAAGTAATGATTTTTTTCATTTTGAAATGATTAAAACTGAACAAGCAGTTATAACTTATCATATACATATTTTTAATTCACTAAAATTTAAATTTAAATATTATAAATATCTTTAATTATTTTAGTTTAAATAATAATTACTTTAAAATATAACTGATTAATATAATAATTTTTTAAAAATAAAAATTATATTAAGAAAAATTAAACTAAAAAAGTTAAATTAATAAACGAAGCAAAGATAAGGATGAAAATTTAAGAGTTTCATAAACAAAAATATAAAACACGACTTGAATTTCTTGAAACATCAACGGTCCAAGACTCAAAGGAGTGCGACTGCAAAATCCCCATTCAAAAGCAGAACTGAAAGCATTTTCTCAGGCTACTATCAATGATTGGACTTTTAAACAGATTGGACTTTCTGAATCGCAGATTCTATCAATGATTGGTGTTCAACCCCAGGTATTGTTTTCACGTGTCGATAACACCCTGAAGCCGAAAATTGAGTACCTTCAGCTTCTAGGGTTTCGGGGTTCTGAGTTGGGTGAGCTTCTCTCCAGCAATCCAATTCTTTTGACGTGCAGTTTGAATAATACGTTGGTGCCTTCTGTAGAGGCTACTAAGAAAATAGTTAACGAAGAGAAAGATTTGATTAAGTTGCTTCGCAGAAATGCGAATTGGATAATCCCTTACCACAGAAAGATTTTGCGCAATGCTGCTTTCTTCCAGAGTTGTGGGATCGTTGGGTCTCAACTTTCATATTTATGCATACAACATGCTCGCCTTTTTGTCATGCGAGATTCCGTGCTTCGAAACTATGTTTCACGGGCTGTAAACATGGGTTTCTGCATAAACTCAAGAATGCTGGTACGTGCGGTCGTGGTAATTAGTGGCTTAAGCTTTGATACGTTTAACAGAAAGTTGGAGTCAATTCAGAGTTGTGGGTTTTCTAAACAAGAGACCGTACAAATGTTTAGAAAAGCTCCCACTTTGCTTCAGCGATCTGAGAAGAATCTAAAAGTTAAAATTCAAGTATGTTTGGATAAAATTATGCTTCCTAAGTCAATGCTTGTTAAGAACCCTGTGATTTTGACGTTAAGCATGGAGAAACGGGTGATTCCTCGATGGAGGGTTTTGCAACTCCTAATCTCAAGAGTTACTTGAGAAGAATCCAAGTTTTCTTGAAGTGCTGCTATTGCCGGAGGGGAAATTCTTGCAGAAGTATATTTTCAAGTTTAGAGATAATGAAGAGGCTTTATTGGCGGCTTACAAGGGTTAGCATCTAAAAGATGCTTCTGCTTAATAATTGTCATCAAGTTCTGTTTAGTAGGCTTCTCTTCACAGCCTTAGGGTTCCTTAAAATATGTATGGTTTGTTTGGATTGAGTAATGAGGGGAGGGAGGAGGGAGTTGAAATTTCAATTGCGTAGATATTAAAGTTTGGAAAGCGAAGAAGCTGGATAAGAAGCTTGAGATTAGAAGAGAAGAAAGAAGAGAATAAGAAATTGGATCTGAAAAATGGTTTCTGACTACAGAGACAATATATATTTACATCATGATGAGCCAGCAACAGTGGCTACAATAACTTAGTTGTTTGCTACCCTAGTTGATAATGAAACTATTCTCTACTTTTTGCTTCTTCCCATGACCGCACAGCGGGTGACAAGAAAGAAAACCCTATTTTATGTAAAGCAAAATTCTCTTGGTGACTTTGAAAAGCAATCATGTTAAGCACTGAGCTGATATTGGGCTGTGAATGTTATGTATTATTGCAATGCAGCAGCCAGACTTTAATATTCTGGATTTTTAACTTCAGAATTGTTACCATCTCACAATTTTTTATATGGTTAATTTGATTGGGTCAATTTGAGTATTGTCAAGTTCAATTTTGGATAGCTCTCTGGAAGATTTTTTCCCCCTTTAATTCACACAAACTTGAATTTTTGAGACCTGGTGTTTAAGAAGGCATAACTCCTCCTACTTGTTGGTACCATCTGACAGTCTTTGTCGTTTTCTTTTGTGTGGGTGATGGTTTGGTCTTGGCCAGATCAAGGAATGTGCTGAAACTGTAGTCATTCGCAATATAATACATATGTGGCAAAACTTTGACACCTCCCGCTTTTGACACCTCCCGCCCCCCTTTTTGTCTCACAAACATACAAGTCAGGTGTGGATTAGCGAACTATCTTGTGAGGGAGAAAGGCAGGCTTCATCTGATATTGGAGGCTATGCTCTTTTGTTCATTAAGCACCAATGGATGGATTGAAAATCCTATGATTGTTATACTGTTCATGACATACCACAAACTTCTTACCATGACTGACTGTCTTTTTTTTTTGGTTTGCAACAACCTGTTAAAGTGATTGCAAACTGATGTCCTTTTTTTACTTGCTGTTTTTTGAGTGGTGTCTGTAGTTGACTATTTGTTGATATTATAAAATTGCTTTTTACCCAAATATATATATATATATATATATATATAAAGGGTTTCTATTCTGATTATGACCTGGGATCATAAAATGAAGTTGAGACTCACTACGTCTTTTGAGGGTGAAAATAATTTTTTCCTCTTGGGGAAAAAAGATGATGCTGGAAATTAATGAATTTAATTAAAAGCAAGATTTATAAATAGTGGTAATTTTTTAAAATTTAAATATGTAAATTACTTTTAACTACTTTCATTGATCATTGATTTGAACATGGTTGTTAAAAGTGATTTATAATAAAAACTACTGAGTACTAGGTAACATTTTAATTTCCGGGCCGGGGGGCGGGGGAGCTCAAATGCTTTTATGTTTTAGACTTTTAGTTTTACTTTAATTGTTTATTTAGTTTCGGTTGACTTTAGGCTCAAATGCTTTTGTTTATTTTCATAATTTAATTTAAAAAAAATTAATGATTTAGTCTTTAAAGTTTTAATTCAGTTATAATTTAATCCTTGAATTTTGACTCATTATAATTCGATTCTTATAATTTTAATTTAGTTGTAATTTAATTTTTAAACTTTAACTTTTGCAATTCAATCTATATAGTTTTAACCAATTAAAATATTGCTCCATATATTTTAAAAAATAAAATTATAAAAATTATAATTATGTTAAAATTTAGAATTAATATTTTAAATTATTAAGTCCTTTTAATATTTATAAAAAGTATAAATATTAAAATTTTACAAGTGTTAATATTTATAATTTTATTTTTTTAATGTAGGGATCAATATTTAAATTACTAAATTATAGGGTTTGAGTTACAAGAGTCAAAGTTAATGATTGAATTATAACCGAGTCAAAACTATAAAAACTGAGTGCCCGTTTGAATTTCAGTTAGGTATAATATATTATGAAAATAATTAATTAAATGATAGAATTTAATCATAATTGATTATATTATAACGCAATTTGTTTGAATATTATTTTTTTTAAAATAAATTTTAATATAATTGAAGATGTTTGGATAACTTAATCAGAATTAATTTTAGCTATATAAATTACTATATAATTTATTTCTTAAATATCAAATATTAATTTTTTGAGGATACAAAGTTTGAATTTTATTAAGAAAAAAAAGAGAAGGGAAGAAAGTTTGGTTTTATTTTTATTAAATTATATGCTTTTTTATATTTTTTGGGTCTTTCTTTGTAATTTTTCCCAGCTTTTTGACAAGTTTATACGCAGATGCTCGAATTCTCAGCTCTTTATAGTTTATCATATTTTATTATTAATTGGAAAAATCACATCAAAGGACCTGCCCAGAATATTATACCCGAACAAGGATCAAATAATTTTAAAACTGTGCTGAAGGATCAAAGGACCTAAACGAAAGTGTATTATGTTGCGAAAAAAATTAAATTACCCTTTATATATATATATATATATATATATATATATTAAAAAAAGTGCACACCAACAATTGTCAGCATTAATTGTCAGACCGTTAGATGCCCCCTACCACTAGCGAGGTCACCGTTCATTAGACGTCTATTAAATCATTAAAGCTGGCTAGGGAGTTTGAATTCAAAACCCTTTGATCAGGCAAAAAAATAATTACTACCAAATTGCCAATACTATTTAATTATAATATGCAAAATAGTATTATATGTAATAACTTTAATAATGGGTCAATCACACGTAAGTTGTTCATTGAATAAGTCATCATTTGAGGGGAAAGTCTCCATTCCATTTGAGCAAGCAACAATTTCTAATTAATAAGTTGAGAAAATAGTTCTTTTGCTTGAGAGAAACAAATATTGTGATGTGATAAATAAGTCATTATTTAGGAAAAAATATGTCCCTGTTTCATTTTAATGAGCAACAATCATGTAATTAACAAATTTAAAAAATAGCCATTTTACTTGAGAGAAATAAATTTTGTGATTTAGTGAATAAGTCATCATTTGAGGGAAAAAAACTTGGTCATCATTTCAAATAAAACAAATCCCCATTCTATTTTAAGAAGTAACAATTTCATAATTAACAAGTCCAGAAAATAGCCACTAAAGACTTTTTCATTAGATCACATCACTTGTTTTCTTAAGCAAAATGGCTATTTTTGGATTAGTTAATTATGAGATTAATGTTTTGTTACAATGGAATGGGAACTTTTTTTGTTTAATGATGACTTGTTTACTGGATCATAACATTAGTTTCTCTAAAGAAAATAGTTATGTTTTTGGGAGTTATTAATTAAAAAATTATTACTTGTTAAAATAAAAAGGGGACTTTTTATCTTGAATGATGACTCATTCACCACATCACTATGCTTGTTTCTTTCACGCAAAATGGCTATTTTCTAGATTTGTTAATTATGGAATTGTTGCTTATTAAAATAGAATTGGGATTTTTTTTCTGAATAATGATTTATTTGTTAAATTACAACACTTATTTCTCTTAAGCAATATAACTTATTGCACATATTATTTTTTGCATATTATAACTAAATAGCATCAGTGTTTTGGTGGTCATTGAATTTTTAGGTGATCAAAGGATCTTGGATTCAAACCCTCCATTACCACTTATAATTTAATAGTTGAATTGGTCGCTGGTGGTAAGGAGTCTTTGACGTTGATGCTAGCAACTATGTGGGTTAATTTTTTTTAACAAAATATATCAAGGATAATTTAGTCTTTTCATAATAAAATATAATTTTATTTAGGTCCCTTGCCCTTGAAGAACAATTTTAGAATCATTTGATCCTTGTTCATAAATAATATTCTTGGGAGGTCCTACCATGTGATTTTTTTCTTATCAATTTTATATCTAAAATTTGAAGAATCATGAATAGTACTTGAATAGTGGACTACTAGAAATGTCCTTGGCGTCGTTTATTCATGCTACCTTGTAAATGCTAGAATAGTAATATACCAAAAATGCCCTCCCCTCGTCAATGATTTTCTCCTCTTTTTCCCTGCGTCCTCGTCACCTTTCTACGTTTTCTTTTGTGTCTACGTTTCATGGGCACCACGACAAGTCTCGTCTTCCATCCCCAGTAACCACCTCTTCAATTCACGTTATCTTTGGCCTTCTCACCTTCTTGCCTCTAGCTTTCCATCTCATCCCCATCTCTCTTTTTGTTTCCATACCCGTTAGCTCTGATGACTTGAAATCATGGAGATCAATCTTTTCGAGGACAAATGGTTTTTACATGTTCTGAAAAGTTGATGAGATATTTGTTTCCATTTATTGTCCAAGTAATGGCCATATGCACCCTAAATTTTAGACATATCAATATTATCGTCTCTTTTAACATGACAGTGGTATATATTAGTGTTAGATCATCCAATGTGAATGGACTTAAGTTAATGTATTAAGTCTCACATCGTATGAAGTTGATCTTAATGATTAGTATATAATAAAAATAAAAGACTAATAAACTTGAGTTTTAATATTTTATGTTAAGATATAGTGTTTTTTATTGTAAAGACGTACATTTGTAGTCATTTATCCACTCTTTGGACCACTTTGCTTATGGGCATGTTTAATTTTAATACTTTTTCAATAATCTTTTTCATAAAAGAGGTATTATGGTCTATTTCGAACATGATTTGTTAAATAGACCATAATAATAGAGCATATTTCTTAGATGAGATTTACCTATTTCTTAAGAGTAATAAGAAAAAGCCTGAGACATTTGTTTTCATTGTTGTTATTTGATGTTGTAGCTTTTACA